CGTCCCTCCCTGTCAACAGGGCAGCTTGGAGATCTACGAGAAATCTTAAAAAACGGGCAGGGATCGTGGGCATGTAGAGCTACCCTCGTGCTAAAAGTACGGGTTCAATTCCGGTAATGAGAAAAGCAATTCCCTCTCGATTCATTTTGACGGCAAATGCTGGCATGTGCCAGAAAGTCAAACCCAGCAACAGTCTTCTTACTGGCAAACGTCGAAGCCACTGGCAGCCTCCTGGTGGCTAACTGTCTTTGCAGCTACTAATGCTTGGGTTACTTTCAACTACTGAAACATTCCTATTCAGGTCTTTATTCAGATTTAACTTATTCACATTCCCTTTTATTCCCTTACTTTTTACATAAACACACACACCATCTAAAATTAAAATTACAACACTGTGCTTTTCCCCGGTGAATGGATGAGGGAGGAGCTCTGATTTTCATTTTAATTTAAAAAATCCAAAAAAAAGTAAAAAAAAAAAACAACAGTTACAAAGTTACCAAATCACGGCTTGTTACGTCACCAATATAAATAACAACATTCAAATCCGGTGCCCAAAGCTCAAATTCATGCTGCCACGAAGCCACTGTACTGAGTGGTACAACAACCAGGAATGGTCCATATAATTCGTACTTGTGATAGAGTACCGACAAGAAACCGATGCATTGGATCGTTTTTCCCAATCCCATTTCATCCGCAAGTATACAGCTATTCCCCCTGTAACAAGCCAAGCAGTAGTTGCTGTAGTGCTAAGTCACTAACTTCTTATATTCCTAGTATTTTAGAGAGGAAGTGCGAGAGGGAAATTAAAACCGTAGATTTCATGAGGAACAGAATACTTTTAGAGTGTTTTACCAAAAAAAAATAAATGGCCAACGCACGGGCTGCCCGCGCGAAGATGAGTTTTTTGCAGAGTTCCCCGCAGGTTTTTGTTGCTACCGGCATCGGTTTTTCGGCAGATGCTTCTAGCTCAAAGAATTTCAGACTGGCCGCCAGAACTGTCAGAAAACATCCCCTCAAAATTCCAATCTTCTAGCTTCTAATTAACTTACCCGGAAGGAACTTTTCACGGGCCTGTACTTAGGCACCACGCATACCTGCCAATACCCACTTAGACAGGGAACAACCCCTCAAGATTCCAGCTGTCTAGCTTCTCAGAACCCCGAGTTATTAATTTAAGCGGAAAAAATTTTGGGGGGCCCGTACGCAGGTACCACGCTTACCCGGGGGCTGGATTTGAGCTCATTAGT